GTTGAACCTGACCTTCAATAGGCCGTAACTCTCCAATGTTTGGCTAGTGGGCTGGTCACGGGGTGTGCCAGCATTTTATGTTGCTGGGCATGACCACCAGCTTGCCTTGGCATCCCTTATATCCCTGTACTGCACTTACACTTATTCCTAGACTCTAAGTCTGCCCCCTCCAATGACCCTTGCCTTGGGACCTTGAGCTCCCTCTGAACTTGGACATTGGAGGGCTGGCCCTTCCACACTGCACTTTCATTCAGTTCTGATATCTGGGTGTGAGCATTGCCTGGAGTTCTTGAAATTTCTTGGAACTTTGACACATTCCAGATACGAGAAAGGCTTTGGAACCTGATCCTGGCAGTTGGCTCATATCATATTGTTAGACCTTGGGTTTGAATTAGGCTCCTTGGATGCACCATAAGAGTTCTAATTGAAATAAATTATTTACAAAGTTCTTGTGAATCATTAGGAGTTTATGATGGATACTTGGCTTGCCGGGAACACCAGGACCTTAATACAAAATATGTTGTAACTTTGAAACAAATTATTCAAAAGTCCTGGTAAATCACTAGGAATTGATGATGGGCAAGCACTTACGTCGCAACATGTCTTGGTTGATTACTATGACTTTTAGTATATTATGTCATAACTTTGGAACAAATTGTAAACAAGTCCTAATGGATCTCTAGGCACATAAATTTCACCAATACGTTTTTGTTTTATTGATCGCAATCAGCTCCGAATGACTTCAAATTTGATATGCAACCTTGCAATATCAATCCTAACAATTATTATTCAATTCAGACCTTTAAAAATCGATAGACATATTTTGCTTTTTTTTTTTTTTAACATAGTTTTTCTCACCTTCAATATAATCTACGAAATGTGTTTTCAATTTTATTCATAATTTATTGCAAGAAAAAAAAAGAAAAAGAAGAGGATGGCCCTTCTTTCTTGGGTAGGAGAACAACAATAAGAATTGTTTTGGTAAGTATGTAGCACCGAGGCTATTTTTATAAAGAAGACCGAGTGACATTTTTTTGGCTACAATAGCAAGACGCAATTCAAACAGGGTATAAAGGTCGGAAAGGAAAGGCAACTTTCTCTATTTTCAACCAGGGGTTTTAGGTGGGTTTTTGCAGAAACCATACCACTGAACCCTGAAATCGGACCCCATTGCATCTTGAAATGGTGCTCCGACTTGCCCACCGGCTCACCCGCTGCTCTCTTTCCTCCCTTCTAATCCATGATTCTTCCTCTGTATGTTGTTCTGCAATAGTTTATTGCATAATTAAAGATTTCTATTAACGTATATGCATAAATTTAATGCCTGAATTTTGAAGAATTGCTATTTTAATTACAGACTTGTGAGGCATTTCTGAAAGTGGGTTGTAGGAGTTATTGCACGGCAACCTGGAAACCAATTAGGAATTTGTTTCCTTTGAATTCTATTAGTGGTACGTTTTATAAGCCTTATTTGTATCTGTTTTTTTTTTTTTTTTTGTTAATTCCAGTAAAGTTATGGCCTTTTTCATTTTCGGGTTCGGTTTCAATCCTATAAAACCTCTTCGTTTAAGCTAGCATATTTAATCTAAGACATACCAACTAAGAGTTTGAGTTCGGGATTTTATCAATTATCATAACTCATTTGATTTATTGGGTTCGAAATCAATTATTTGTACTTATTACTAAATTTTTTACCACTTATTATACCGGGTTTAAGCCAAAGCTCTAATGGATTCAGATGAAGAGACATAAGTTACACTCTACATCTGCCCCTGTAGTTAAGAATTTGTAAAATATTTCCCAAAGATTATTTAACTGGCTACTTTAAGGATTGTCCTCAGCAAAATTTCAAAGTTAGGAAAGCTTGCAAAACCATCATAAGGATAGCCCGAGCATGCATCATTCGAGTTATGAATAAAAGAGAGGAAGAGGAAGTTCTCTCGTAACCAGGCCTTGGGCTTCCAAATACTCTTCAATCCATCTGATTCTTGCAAAACAAGCCTAGCTTATTGGTTTAGGTGATTGATACATTTGATAGAAAGGAGTTTATGCAATAAAGTTGGGTTTTGGTAAGAAAAGGTGAGTGTTAGGGTTTACGCTATTGGGAGCTTCAATGAGGGAAATGAAGAAACAAAGAAGACGAAGGTAAACTGAAAAAAATGGGGTCTTGAACGCAAAAGACGGGAAGGGTAGTGTGAAAAAGTGTCCTCTTAGATCCAACAGTTCAGAATTGGTTAAATAAATGATCTAATGGTTCAAATTAAATGAAGTGATTTGCATCGAAAACCCTCCTTTTTCGTGGAGAATGTAGAGGATAGTCCTTGAGGTCCCAAATAATGTAACAATCGCTCTCCAAGATGATTTCAAAGTCTATTATTGGGTCATTAATTTATCTCTATAGCTCACTAAGTGCCCGTCACCCGATATTACCTAGTAGGATCAAACATTCCTCAATTCGAATTGCAACTTTGTAACCAATATGCAAGGATTATAGATTCTCTATTAGTACAAGACTTTTCAGTAAAACAATATTTTGTATTTCAAGTGCAAAATTCACCCATGGTTCACACATTCTTTTTCATAAGAATGCTAATTATGATGCATATGACAATGTATAGAAATTTGGGTGTTACAACTCTCTCACCTTGAAAGAAACCTTGTCCTGAAATTTACCTGATATTGGTCATGGAACTAATGGTCATACTATAGTTGCATGTCATCTTCACGCTTCAAGGTAGCTTTCCTGCCTCAGGTTGTCATCATTCATACCCAAAATGCATATCAAGAATATACGTCTCATTTATTACATATGGATCTAGAATATATCAGATGCTAGCTTTATTGACCCTGCTTCTCAAGGTGCAAGATTGGTATGAGAAGAAACTGGTCTCTTCACTATTGGAGTCCATATTGACCTCAATAACGGCAGTGTTGTGAAGAGCGTGAAGCGAGGAAAAGCGACAACCCCCATTTCACGAAAAGCGAGAAGCGAGAAGTGAAGCGCTCGCTTTTTTTAAGTGAAGCGGAATTAAAAAAAAAAATTAAAATAAATACTGCATAGACAGCACATGTAATTGTAAGCAAATGTTCAATACTTCAATTAAAAAACTAAAGAGTAGCATCAATTAAAGCACAAAATGAGCAGAAATTGGGCAGAAACTAGGCAGAAACTGGAAAAAATTGGGCAGAATTTTTCTGAAAAAAATTCGCCAGCATTTCGGAGCTTTTTGGACGTTTAGAAAGAAAAAGAAAAAGAAAAAGAAGAAGAAGAAGAAGAAGAAGAAGAAGAAGAAGAATGAAACTAAAAAGTGCAGAACATACCTGAAAGATGCTGTTGTACTCTTGAAGAAGAACTGAAGAAGAAGAACCCTAGTTTGAAGAAGAGAAATTGCTGCTTGAAGTTAATGAAGAAGAGAGGAAGAAATCGTTGCTTTTGTGAGAACCCTAGTTTCTCGCTAGTTTAATCTCGCTGCTGAAGAGTCCAGAGTAAACAGAATGCAAGGTTTTTAATTAAATAGGGCTTTGGGTATTTTAATTAAAAAAGCGTTCGCTTCGCTCGCTTCTTCTCGCTTCACCGCTTCTCGCTTTTTACCGAGAAGCGGTCGCTTTTTTTACCAGAGTCACTTTTAATGGCAGAAGCGCCGACCCTTCCGCTCCGCTTCGCTTCTCGCTTAAAGCGAGGAAGCGGTCGCTTTTCTTATCACTGAATAACGGAGAACTACATCGTTGTACCTCCTTCAGATCATATGGGTCGAAAGAAAGAGGAGATTATCATATACCAATGAGAATGATGCAGAAAAATATAAAAAGCTCTTTTTTTTTATTTTTTTAATTTTATACTTCTGATGCACGGAAAGACTTCTTCACACGGGCAATTGGGCTAACCTGATAGATGGAGGTGGTTGACTCACACACTGCATAGTTTTGACTTTGTATTGGTGTGCCATTATTTACTTTTCACCCTGTTTGGTTTGCCATTACTAAAATACTTCTGACTTATCAAAATATTAATTTTACCATGCAGTAGTTAAAGAAATTACCTTTAAAATGCAGTTCTTTGGAATAATGTCGATGTTTTATGTTGCCATAGATATAGATCAGTGTACTACTATATTAAAGTTGAAGAGAGTTATTTTCACTTAATATTCTGAATTTTATTTGTTGGTGAACTGCAGCTCCATTAGCTTGTATCGCAAGGACTTCATACACACACTCGTCGCATCCTTTTACACAGGTCTTGGTCAGTAGCTTCGCTAGATAAATGTAATAGTTGGTACTTCTCTAGGAACTGTTGATTAGTTGCTTATGTTCCGTGACAATCTTTAGCACCCCATCTTGTTGGTTTTTGTTTTGTCCTTTGCTTTTCTTTCTCAGAGTGAGGAAAAGGTTTTGCTTTGTAACATCATTTTTTCACCTCTGATTGACGAACTAAAATTTGTTTTGTGCTTCAGAGGCATGAACAATTCTGCGCTACTGCAGGAAATGAGGAAAAGCAAAAGTAAGTTGTTCTTGCATGAATGGGTTATGCCGTTCCCTTTTCTCTTCTCCTCTTGTTTTTCCCTTTGAACTGTACTTGGCGTTTCCTTAAACAGGAGATGAGGTTATGTTGCTAGTTGCTAATGTCTTTTACAAAAAGGCGAATTAGATTAGTGAACTACTTGGTAAAGGGGAAATCTTGAATTGAATTTGAGTTTCAAAGGTCTGTTAGGTTCTTTTAGGAAAATTTCTAATTTTGGAGTAAATTAGATTAGCTTTGGTTTTTTTAACTTCTCTCTCTTTCTTTTCCCGAATTGATTCAGATCTGGTTTGGTCCAGATCTTATTGAAGTATGCTTTGCAATAATACTTTACACGAGTTCCATTTGAAGTAGTGCCATATAAACTTGCCAAACTAGCAGTAAGTAGTTCATGAACGTATATATGGACAGGAAGAAAAGTCTATTAATATATGCATAAGGTAAGGCCCTTCTTAAATTAACTTTAATCCAGATTGATATTGCTTTAGGCATGTGTTGGTGAAAAATCCAATTTGTATTTAAGTTACTACTTGATCAAAGCTGATCCAACAAAAACATAGATTTGTTCTTTTCCAAACTAGGATTAAACAACAAAATCACATTTACTCTTACTAATCGGGATCTATGAGCCCAAAATCAGCCTATAATTTTGGGCGAATATCTCATTTTGTTTTCTGCATCCAATGCATGATATAACTGGGGGAATTTTCTTATACAAGTGACCCAGCATTTTCTCCTCAAACTTATGTTTCTTGATATCTATGTTACACTGTTCCACATAATTTCCTTGTTACAGAATTACAAGCCTTTTCCATAAGATGGCAAACTTGAACCTCGTTGCTGTCTATCTTATCTTGGCTAGCATATATAAGATAGCTGATGGCATGTCACAAGATTACGCCACACTGATTTAGTTACCACAAACTTAATTTCCAATGTCTCTTTTTGTGATGCGCAGAATATCTGTAACCTTTGTCGACAAGGATGGAGAAGAGCAGCATATTAAGGTCCCTGTCGGAATGTCTATGTTAGAAGCTGCACATGAAAATGACATTGAACTTGAAGGTCAGCTTTGTTAAGGCGTCTTGACTCATATATCTTGAATGAATTTTATCATCCTCAACTACTCAAGTTAGCTGATATTCTAAAGATGATTAAGGCGACCTAGTGAATCTAGGTACTACTTTCAGTCAGCTGGGATGCATCTATTGGATGTCTTAGTGTTATAATCTAACTTCATCTTGCAATATTACCAATTAAGATGCTTAAAATATAAGAAATTAAAAGAAAAGAGTAGTATTGGATTATGCATGTTGAGCACAATGTGCTATAGTTCCCCAAGTTGTCTCAAAGTTAGTGATATGTTTGGGCTCAAAAAGATTCCGAGTGGAGTACCGGTAGCATTGGCGCTCACCATCTTCAAATTGGAGATACTAATAAAGCGGTGATGCTGATGCTAAGAGTTTAAGTTTGTAATGCATCTGGAAGGTTTCCTCTAGAGGCAGTGGTTGTATATATGTGCATGAAGAATTCTATTGGGCGTATCAACTTAAACAACAGCATTTATGTTCTTGTTAATACTTACACTCCAACTTCAGGACTAGAAAAAAAATTCCATGAGCTGCAGATGCATACTTTTCGGGCAAAAATATATGACCGACACATGCATGTCTCCTTATTGTGGTTTAGGACTCTGTCGGATACGCACAAACATTGTCAAATAAAAACATTTTTAGATATTCTTTTGGTATAAAAAGTTCTAAGCACAACAACAAAGACTTTGCTGTTAGCTTAACTGAATTTTATGGGCTTTGATGCAGGAGCATGTGAAGCGTCACTTGCCTGTTCCACGTGTCATGTGATTGTTATGGTATGTATTTATGATCAGGATAATGTCATTGGCTTTTGCTTCCTGCTTGGCTGGGTGCTCCTCAATACCCTCTAGGCTGTTCTGATCTTATAAATATGCTGTATTTGTTTTGATAATCGAGAAATAGTCGACACCGAATTAGTGCACAGTTTCTCACTTGGTGAATAATGGGTTCGCCCCTCTACTCATCTCCATTTACATATCAAGCTTTTTGCTGCGGCATGGCTCAAACTCGTGACGTGCAGCTAGCCCACACATCACGCGCTGCATTATTATCCCTGAACCGAAACCTCTAGGACATAAATATGCTGCATTTCTTATCTACACTTTGATGTTTGACAGGATGTGGAGTACTACAACAAGCTAGAAGATCCAACAGACGACGAAAATGACATGTTGGATCTTGCGTTTGGCCTCAGTGACACGTATGCTTCTTTGCTATATATTCTTTAGCATTTTTCCATGATCTTTGAAGCTTCTCATGTCTGCTATATTCATTGTCTTCAGGTCACGTCTAGGTTGTCAAGTAATTGCAAAACCTGAACTTGATGGAATTCGGTTAGCTCTCCCTGTTGCCACAAGAAACTTTGCTGTCGATGGCTATAAGCCGAAACCACATTAGGATTTCTACCATAGATGAAGGATTAATGGTCCATGTCTAACAAACATAAGAACCAACAAATTTTGTGGGATGACAATACTTATAGTGATCATTTGATTACATATTTACTTGTATCACTGGAAATAATCCTTCCTGCATTAATTGTGGATGTTTTTTTTTTTCAATAGCAGCAATACCATACATCAGTTCTGCATTAACTTCTGTATTCTTTTATATCGAATTCAATGTAAAATAATTATACATGTATTAGCACTCATATAAATGACATGAAGTTCATATTATAACTTGTTAAGTTAACCATCTTTTATTTGTTTATTTCTTTTTTTCTCCAATCTTGTTATCTCCTATTTGTTCATTTGTAATATTTGTAGTTTAAGGTATTTATAATAAGAATTATGTTTAGGTAGGAAAAAAAGAAAAGAAAAAGGGATCATTGAGGGCTTGCTGGTGGTTTGGTGTATATCGATGCAGGTAAAATTCTATCAGCACTAAGGGGGGTAAATTCTTACTCACCACACTCGGTGTTTACATTTTTAAATTCATTAACTTATCATGGTTAAATGATAAATTGAGATGAGAATGTCTATTAATTGACTATGATATATTAATCTAAGGAAATGTTTGCTCGCGCTTCTTTTTTTTACCAAACTGTATTATTTTGTCATGGTTGGTTATAAAATGACGCAAAAATGTATGTTAATTAACTATTAGTTAGTAATAAGTAACAATTTGTGTTGCATGTTTGTTGGGTTAGTAAACAGAGTATAGATAAGTTTTTTTTTTCGATAACAATATATGTAAAAATAAATGTTATGTATTTATTAAGTTGGTGTAAATATTGGGTGTGTGAGGAAAATCTTCACACAGCGTCTGCCTTGACCCAAAATGGATCTTGACATTGTTGAGGATTTTGATGGTTAGTTACAGAATGAAAGGTAAGATTATTGCTTTCTTTTATTGGATTATTTCATTCATATACAAATAAACAATGACTTTGAGATACCTCCTTTTCAATTAAAGCAGTCTATTTTCTGCCTCTAACTGCCAGAGATTCCTTATGTGCTTGATAATATGCTGTTGTGCCCTCTAATTTCATCACTAATATGACATCATAAAAAACATCTGGCGTTCACGTAGTATCCGAAAAAGGATCGCATTCAAAGAGTGTGATGTAGGCAGCTTATTCTGATGCAAATATCAGTGGCTAATTCATTATGACATCATAAAAAGCATATATCTTGTCTAATATAATTTTTTTTCTTCAACTTCCAAAAGAAAAGAAAATATAATGAAGTTTTCCTCACAAAATTGTCATTCGGTTATTTAAAACCTATTTTTTTTTTTTAAACTTCTAGTACAACATGACATTCTCTTTACATAACCTATTTAATAGTCAACAAACTAACAAAAATACAGGTCAATGACTTTGATAAAATGTTCTCAACTTCTCTGCCCTCCAACCCTTATTCATCTTCTCAATGAAATCTTCAGTTCTCCTCCTCAATTCATCCTCTTCTTTATCATCACTTTTCTCAAAATTGTTGACATTTGTTTCCTTTCTCATTTTTAACAAATGCATTGTACTGTCAGTTGAGCCATTTTTAGCAACTGCCACTTTTGTTATATCACGCCCCTTGGGTGCGGCACTTCCCTTGTCCTTATGTGAACGCAGGATACCTTGTCCACCGGGCTGTTCTTTTGTTGTATCACTCTGGAAATTTGTGTCTTGATGAGAAATATCAATCATAGGAGATGAATTATACACTTGAAATTTACACAATTCTTGTGATGATGAGACACATGTAGTGTCCATTGTTTTAACTTCAAAATCAAGATTCATACTTTTGCAACATTTAGGCTTAGAAGTGCCTAGTGATTCTCTTCTCTTGGACATGTGAGAATCAAGATTGGTGTTCTCTTCTGAACTTGGTTTGGAGCTTTCAAGTAGTAAAATGGCTATGATTAAATTGCAGAAACAAAATAGAATGTGAGAATTAGAAGCAGCCACAAAGATCAACTCAAATGTGGAACTCAACATGGTTGAAAAATCTTGGAAACAAAAGACCGAGTGGCGAATGTAGAAGGTTTCTACAGGTTCGATATAACCCTGTGATTTTTCTCCTCGGAACTCGAATATATATGTGAAAAATAAGTAAAAATAGAGTTAGATATATATTTGAGACCTCACACTCTCAACTTAGAACCACGTGAATTTAAATGCCACTGAATAAATTTGTGAAATTTGTTAATGTTGAGAAGATGTTAGGTGTTTTGGGATGAAGTGAGGCTATTTAAAGGTTTTGTTTTGATTCTTAAACTGTGCACAAGAAGCTTTTAGTCCAATAGTTTAGTGTAGGGAAAGCTAATGTGGGTTGACTTGATAGTTGAGTCTTGGTCAGAGTGAACATGTGAAGCTTCCTTACAAATAGTAAAGTGTCGGACATTCTTAATAAATAATTTGTGTTTACATTATAACTACTTCCATCAAGTCTAAAAGATTAACAAACAGCTAAATAGAAGACAATTTGGTTCCGGGAGCAAAGGCTTTCGAACACAGCAATAAAAATATCCCTGGACAGAAAATAAAGTAATATTAAATTTGGAATAATGTGTAGCATAAGTTCGTTAGAAATTTTATTTTATGTCCTACAATGGCTGTTGAAACCACTATTTATAGATATACCTAGGGAACAAGGTACTAGGATCAAGCCTCTCTTTAATGACAATAATGGGGGTCGTTGATGAATATGTAACGGCAGGCTATGAATGCCAAAATTCTCTTTATCGGATTGTGTATTTAATACTGAGGAAATATTCTTTATTGAATGTCATCTGGTGGCAAATATTCGTTTACCCTCGTTAACAATGTTCCCTTTGGGGTCAGCCCGATGCCAATCGAAGCTGTTGTCCTCGGTCTTGGTTTTCACTCACTTCATCTTCCGTCTGTCCCGATTCTACGTGTCACTCTATCATTCGAGTATTTAGTGTGAGCCAGTTTTACCCTATACAGATAGTCCCCCTGCTTTCCGGTGGCACATCTTTGTGTCACAGGAAAGTTGGTGAAGATTCCTTTCTTGGCGGAAAATTTCCTGAACACTTCTGAAAGTCTCTGATGCTTGATTAGACACAAGTCTCTCCGCATTTAATACCCCGAACACGTGTTACTCAAGTCTCTCCGCATTTAATACCCCGAACACGTGTTACTCCACGATTTAACAATATTTTTGCCATTTCTCGAAGTAATCATTCCACGATTTTAGCCACATATTCCTTTACTACACTTAACAGTTTTACAAAACTCTCTCAACTTCTTTGCATTCACTTCTTCGCCGCTTTCATCTTTCTTCAATCTTCTTCAAAAAACTCTCATCATCTTCTACCGATCGTGGCTTCTTTTACTAACTCTTCCAAGAACCTCGATTTTCTCTTCGGTGGGGGTTCGAAGGAGAGCAAAGACAAAGAAATTAATGTTGATGCTGGCCCCCCTACGGTGAGCACCACCATCCCCAAACGTCTCAATACAGCCAAGGACTTTGAAGAAAAGTTTCCTTCTTCAAGTTCTCGCACTTGGGCTATTAGCATATACCCTTCTTCTATCCGTCCTTTCAACATTCCTGCTGTGAAAGAGGACTGTGATTGCCATGACCTAAACATCATTGCTCCCAAACTGGTAGAGCGAGTAAACTTCACTAAGAAGGGCTTCATGTATATTTATACATACCCATTCACTTTGGGTGCGTTTTCTTTGAGCGGGGGACTAGACCCCGTGATTTTGGAGATGTGCCAATGATACCAAGTTTATTTGGCACAGGTGGGCCCTTCGGTATGGGGAATGGTAGCATGTCTGCGTCGGCTCCTGTCAATAAACCCAGGAGGAGTTCACCTTGGATCATATGATGAATATCTACTCCCCAAAGATTTTTCTTGGGGGAGTAATAGATTTCAGCAAACTTGGCCACCATGCTTTGCTCACCAGCATGGATGACGACAACGACCGTGGATTGATGGAGCGGTTTGTTGTTGTTGCCGCCAGGGATATCATCCTGGCCACAACTCCATCTTTCCCTGAGTCATGGACTTGTACACGTAAGTTCATAGTTTGTCTTTTTATGAAAAATGTTGTTTTATGTCGTTAATGATCTTTTTTCTTTTATTATTTCAGTAACTTGGTGGATACCACCAAGGGTTGAAGGCCTGGACTGGTGAGTTCAGAAGATTCTAGACATCACCACACCTGAGACCCGCCGGTAGAAAGAGTTGGCTCCCAAATACAGATTTAAGGCCAAGAATCATAGTAAGTTGACTAATTCTGTCCTCATTTCATTTTTGTGCATAAGAAAATTGGTTAACCTCTCTTTTTGATGAAGTGAGGTCTCCCGCGGGCTCTGTTACCATCCCTGAGGAGGACGTTTTGGCTGATCCCGTGGAGGCTACAAGGTTGTTGTTGGAGGCTCTTACCCGAACAGGCGCCATCGGACCTACTTTCGATGCTAGCGCTTCCTCTCGGAGTCCTCGGCCGGAGAACAAGCAGCCAAAAAGGCGGCGTTCTTCCTCGATCGAGGGCAAGAATAAAAAGGTGAAGAAAGCTGCGCCCGAGCCAATAGCAGTCACCATGGTGATTGATGATGATGGGAAAGCCAGTGATAAAGGGGCTTCCTTACAAAGAAGACAACGTCCTTCACCAGCTCATCAAAATGCTCAATCTGAAGAACTTACAAACCAACCGAGGACGACGCCCAAGCGCTCTAGGAGAGTTTGACTTGGTGGAGAATGCCAACTCTCCCTTTACGGTCCCAACTACTGCTCCTGGTACTGTGAGGCTAAGTACCATGCCTCTTCCATATTTGGTTGGTGAGCAACCAACAACCAGCACTGCCTCCCCCGCAGTTGTGTTACACCCCATATTTTTGTACGTAAAAGTATGTCGTAAGTCAATTGATGTAAGCTTGAAAATGAGATCCTCTTTGAAAGTATATAAAGTGATTTAACGATGTTACACCCCATTTTCGCAAGCCTTTAAGAGTTAAAATTGGGGGACGAATGTTTCTAAGGGAACATGTTGTTACACCCCATACTTCAGACGTCACTGTCATTTTAGGATTATCTAATATAAGCTCAAAAAGGACGAAATCCTTCTACATAGATAAAAAAGGTTTACCGAAGTCTTAAGTAAGTTAAGATGAATATGAGACTTGTTAATCATGATTTAAAATAGTTTAAAGTCATGATATGACTATATATGATGTTTGGATAGAAAATATAAAATTTGGGAAAAATTGGATTTAAGTTGCG